GCAATCTTAATTCTGGCTTTGGATTCATCCAGTCCAGCCTTTCACATGATGTATTCTGCATATACATCATGCAATGAGACTTACTTCTGAGTAAACATATAAAAGCAGTGAATGGCAGAGAGGCATTTGAGATCAGAGGGCATGAATGTGAGACTCTCAAATTCTAACCAATAAATATTTATTCAACTAACAGTCCAACTAGTCCTCTTAACAAGTAATATTTACAGACTGTGTTTCTTATATCCAAAGGGCTGCACACATTATAGGAGTAATTCTGACAGGAACTCTGAAGAGTAGACCAGTCTCATCCCTTCTTCTGGTGGGGGCAAAGAAGAACAAGCAGAGCCTCAGAGACCAGCAGTTTGCTTAAGGCCACCCAGGAACTTCATGACTGCTGAAGACGGATGTTGAACTGGGGATTTCCTGCCATACACCTCATACTCTTAGTCAGTTCACTAACTCTACACAGAAGTGCTCTTCGTTTAACAAGTCTTGCAGGAGTCTTAAGAGACGGCCCTGGCCAGTTCTGGGGACTTGATGACACAACACTCTAGAACAGACAGATGAGAAGTTGCAGGCAGGATACTGAACAGCAATTATGGGCTTTTTTACTATCAAAAGAAGAACTGGCAGGGGAAGAGAGGAATGTAAATCTACAATCAGGGGCCAGTACTCTGAGATTAGGAGCTGCACCCTTACCTTGTGGCAAAACAACACTTTTGTAGGGCGTAAGTTGTGTATCACAGGTGTGCACAGAAGACAGTGTACAGTCTAGCCACAGTAGCATCCTGCTTGTTTTTATATGAGCAAAAGAAAACATACTGTTGTTTAACTAGACAGGATAGCAATCTGAGTCTGAAGAAGAAAGGACAAGAAGAGGTTCAGTTGTACACAGTAATTGCCATAGCCCATCCAAAGCACAACTGTTTCAACATGTTTTATGGCAAAAAAAACAACGCAAGCCAAATCCAGAGTCATCACTTTTTCTATTTTCAATATATTCAGTTGTAGAACAGCCACGAGGGTAATTTCATTAAAGCACACTCTATTTCAATAAGCACTATTAAGACAAACAGACAATATCAGTTTTCAAACACTTGTCAGCATGCCCTCCACTATTTGACATAACATCTAAGTCAAACACACAGTAAAAAGCCACTATTTGTTTAGAGGACAAAGACTTTTGGCATTACATTCAGAACAACTCCTCCATAACTAAGCATCATGTCACATACCAGCACTTTAAAAAAAAAAACCTTACTTAACTAACTACTCCAGCAGATTAACATCACCAAAGCAAAACATTCAGGACAGGCCCCGTCTTTAAAGGAGAATCTATAATTCAGATGCATACTGGGTGGTACAGACACTCTAAGGTAAAGAGTAGCTCAGATGACACACGAGGAGCCAGAAACCAGCATAGAGAACCAAAAGGTTTCTGTATCTCAGCCAACATCTTTACGACCTACAGCAGTGCCCCCCAACGTGGTGCCCTCTGCATGTTTTGGAGTATAACTCCCATTGTCCTTACACTGGCTCTTGATTGTGGCACATTGTAATCCAACACAACTAAGTAACTAGTCAGGAAGGATCCCTTCCATATTTTTTTCCATCTGCTTATAGGCAGAGTCCTACAGTATGGTGGATCAGTGGAAAAGACCTCACTAACAGCCTGGAAGGGATGCTGAAAGGCATTTGGACCGCAAGGTTGCATGGAATAATATGTAAATATTTAACACTGACTATAAGGTACAATCTCTGCCATGACTATATGGTACAATCTCTACCCAAGCTGCCACTGTTAATCAAAATGTTTGATGAGCCAGGTCAATGTCTTTTATATTCACAATATGCAGTTTTAAAAAATAATCTTGAAGCTGAAATCCTGCACCATCTACCTGAAAATATTTTCCATTCAACTCCGTGGGGCGTATTTCTTAGAAAGCTATATACAGGAATGTACTGAGTGATTTTTAAAATATGGTTGTTATACTTGGGAAAATAAGGAATTTGTGCTCATTTATGTGTATAGATACATTTTTTTTCCAAAGGGGGGGATTACTTTAGAGTGGATGACTGCAAACTCAATTCCAGCTGGCAAGGCTGTTAAGAAATTGCTAGTGCATTTCTATCAATATAGCAGGAGGCAGACTCAACTGCTCTTGCACGGCAAACTGGGCTGATGAAGGGAAAAGAGAAGCAGCCATCATATGCCAGTAAACAGAAGATGATCAAGGACTCTTCAATCCTTCAGTGCAGAAGGGCTTCCTATTTTCCACTTAAATGGGGCCTATCCCATAGAGTATGCTTATGGAAGTCTGAAAGAGTAGCTGAGAGGTGTGCACAAGCAAATTCTAGCAATAATACCTGTGTTGATAGACAATCTCGCGGTGTCAGAGCACCACAAGTGATTAAAACTGATAACCCTGTAAAAATGAGAAAGTGAAAGTATCTCTTTGGTTGTCCAAAGATCCTTTATCATAGACCGATCTGGACAACTAGTCCCTTGAACCAATAAACACTTCCAACCCTCTTCCAACCCAGCTCATAACCTAGCAATACAGCAGCGACTGCAATCAAATATTCCGAGCCAATTGTGAAATAAAGTTTTCTGCCAAAGGCACATGAACAGAATCAGTGTCTCATCTCCTACAAGTTGAGTGTACAATGATGTCTAATTTTTTTTGCTTAAGAACAGAATCTAGGACAGTATCTAACAACCTGAGAAACTCATTCCCTTTTCTAGGACATCCAAAATCCATGGTTGTACACAGATGTCTGGCAACAAACGGAGGGCAGAATTCCAGCTGGTAAGACCAGAATTGGAAATAATTTGTTAAGTAACTTCTCACCCTAATTTGTTAACCCTTTCAACCCTAACTGATTTAATTTTTCAACAACAGCCAACACTATACTAATTATTAAAACACTAATTAGTGTCATTTCAATGCATCTTGTTGACTTTGTTACAAACATTCCAGAAAAATGATATTTTACATTTTAATGAATTAGCAACTTGACAAATTAACCAATGAGTTAACATTCTTAGCATCTTAAAATGGACAAACGCAAACTAGATTTCCCCCCCCTTCCCATAACACATTAACACTAGCCATAAGATTTCAAAGCTTCAGTAAGGAGCAAGAGCTAGATAAGGCTTTTACAGTCTCCTGTTATTTTCCTATAAAGTACTGAAGAAGCTATCTTGGGTTCCAAAGGAGGGAATGCATCCTGCTTAGCATCTCCTCATGATCTCTTGGAAAAAGCTATTTATTATCTCACAGACATAGCGGTAATTTAAGTATGAGTATTATTTGGAAATAATTTGTGTGGCTAGAATATGCAGCAATTCCTATTTGCTAGTGATTTCGGGCAATTGTTACTTCATGCTCTTAGCTCTTGGATCAGTAAGACTGGAAGTCCACAATTAAGACACTTCCTTCTCCTATTTTAAAGGCTAACCAACAGCAATGTCACTCCCCCATCCGTACCTTGTAGCATTCAACCCCTTCCTCCACAAAAGCTAAAATTAGCATTTCTGAACCCTGGGTGCCAGTTTATACAGTCTGTATGCGCAAGCAGATGCACAAGAGCCGCTGTATATTACTATTTTGACTGATGCCAAAGAGGCTGCTGAAATTCTTAAACTGTTTGCCCCAGTGGGAGACTGCATGTGGGTGATTACACCAAAGTTCAGTCCACAAAAGATAGTGGTCCTGCTGGTGAGTAGACATGCAAACCTGGACTAGAGAGTACAGTGTGCTCTGGAGGTGACTGTACCCCCCACCCTTGAAGGATCAGGTGAACACGTCTGAGACCACTTTCAGAGGCAGTGCTGGCAGCAATGGTCACAGGTGCATCTGGCAGCCTTACAAGGTACAACAACTTAGTCCCTTACTGGCGAAAGCCACCCTGGTCATGGTGGGCCCCACCTTAATCATCTTGTATATTGATTAGTTAGCATATCACATAGCAGCCAGACTGTTATGGGTTGTGACTTCTAGAGACTAGGTAGAACCTTCCTTGGCTTGCTGTTTGTTTCCAGATCAAATTTATGGTGCATGCTCTTACGGTACCTACAAAGCCCTACATGGTGTGGGCCCAGGGTATTAAAAAATGATTGGATCTATCCAGATTAACTATCCCTGAGTCTGTGGTACCTTCTTATGTGTCCCATCTTCCAGAGAGTTGAAGTTAGTGTGGGCTTGAGATGAGGCTTTCTGCGTGCCAGTATCCCAAATGCCAGGTAGTTAGGTTTGACCCCCTCCTCCTGACGGGCTTTTAGATTGCCAGTTCTCTCAAGCTTTTAGTGATTAATGTCGCCCTTTGAGCTTCAAGGATTTCTTTATTTTATGGTGTTATGTGCATTTAATCTTTTTTGTTGAGGGGGGTTGTTACAATTCATTTTTGTGATTTCAGGCATTCCCCTGGTGAAAGTGCATTACACTCAAGAAAATAAGAAATAAATAGGGATATTTTGGCCGCAAAACTCGGTGTGTGTGTGTGTGTCTGCATTTCAAGTACTGGACCATCCTGGAAACAGGCTGTAATCTTGGTCGTTTGCTGTTTTATTTATTTATTTATTTACAGGATTTTTTTTTTAGCCGCGTCATTACCAGTAGTCTCTGAGTGGTGAAAGTTCAGTTTTTGCCAGTTTTCAGCTGGCAAAGCTCAAAAGGAACCTGATGTGTCCAGCCGGACCTCATGACAAATAAAACAGGAACCAGGTACTTTTATGACTTATTTAGAAAATAAAATTATCCAGGCTCAGTGGTGCATGGTCACAGGTTATGTACACATGCTACACAGGTCTGCCAAAATGCTATTCCAAACCAGATTACATAATTTCTTCTGCTCTTTCATCTGCATAACATCACAGGGATTTCTGTTGGTTTGAGTGTTATCCTAGCTCTGCCACGAATGAAACCAAAGAGAACGCTCGTTATCTATAATCCAGGGTGCAGAACTCAAGTCAAAACTGAATCAATCAATCCACTTACCTACTTGCAGGACACGGTCAACAGCCCCTGACTGTAGCAAGTGCAAGCCACGGTTGAAGGGCACACGGGAGTCGCGTTCCCCCTCTGGGGGATGATAGCCAAGGGATGAATACATACATATCTCCCGCTCACTTCGTGGGAAGGACCAGAACACGATGCGCTTCTGCACAGGCTCTGGGACACGAGAGAAACGCTCCTCCACCTGGACGGGGGGAAAAGGAAACAAAGACAAGACACACTGTGAGAATTACTACCGGGCTTTGAACCGCTTTGGAACCAGGCATGTGGAGCACTGACCTCTCCCTTTAGGAAAAGGCCCATTTCTTAAGATCTTCCTCCAAGGTCTTGCTCCAGGCACCTCCACTTTCAAAGCCATCATCTAGGATAAGATCTTAGCTGGAGTGGCACCTCCGTTATGGCATTCCTCTTCCTTCTTTTGCCTTCCAAGATTTTGAGTGATCGACTTTGTAGTTCTTCCTGCAGTTTTTTTATTCTATGTTTCGAGTTTCATGTTTATTGGCATAAATAGAGAATATTCAAGCTGCCTTGAATATTTTCTGAGGAATTGTGAAGTCAGATATAAACAAACAGATGCATCATTTTCAGCCCTAGTGCCCCTCTAACCCATCTTCAAACAAAATCCCAACGCACATTTCAGTCCCAAAGTAGACAGGCATTCTGTCCCCAAGCCACAACAGCTAGTGTATACAACGTTTCAGTTCTAACAGTTGCATGTGATTCAAAGCTGAGGACCACTCATGCCAGTACAAGTGAAGGAAAAGAGCAATCGGTATGAAACTGACAGAAGTGGGTATCAATGCAAGGCTGGAAATAAAGCCTCAGTTGGTGCATTCGTGCTCCGTAGCAGTGGTTCTCAAACATGGGTCCCCAGATGTTCTTAGACTGAAACTCCCAGAAAACCTGACCAACACAGCATGGGGTGAAGGCTTCCGGGAATTGCAGTCCAAGCACATCTGGGGACCTCAGTTTGAGAACCACTGCTCTGTAGTAACCTGAAAATAACCAGTCCATCAGCAAGGAGTGAAATATCTGCCCTGAGTATGACATCATGGTAAGCATGTGGACGACTAGGTACTCAGGATTTTATCCTTCCAACCATCTGTACTATAAAACAGCTGGGTAGTATACCAAAATTCCAAAATGCTCTGCAGATGGACATGACCAGAAACCAGGATGCTGGAAGCCACAGGATTGCAGCAGGGCTGGGAAAGGAATGCAAACAGATATCCACATATATGACCTCCAAGCGTCGTCTACTGTAAACTAGAGGCACTCGGCCAATATCTGTGGACAGTTAAGAGTTCTATATCTCTGGGAGAAGAAAGGAGTCATGGTGTGGGCAAGGGTTCAGGCAAGAGATCTGTTACCTACCGTTCACAGCAGCAGTGACACCCATGCCCTACAGAGCCAGGACTTGTTACTGATCTCCACCCAGGAAGGGAAGCAGACAAGAGCGAACCCAGGTAGTCTCCAAGGGGGACCCATGTGGACAGGCTTTTTCCCCTCCATGCCCCATCATAAATTCATCTCACCTGCCTCCAATCGTGCTGGATGTGGCTGGTTAGTGTAAACAATGTGAAATTAATCCCCCCCCTTCCAATTTTCTGAACTGTTTCTCTGATTTCCCCAATTAATTACAGCCCAGCCAACCTTCAAAGTGGTAAGGGTGAAGTATCTCCATATTCCCTGGAAATGTCTAAACCAGGGGTCTCAAACTCAATTTACCCGGGGGCCGCTGGAGGCAGAGTCTGGGTGAGGCTGGGCCACATCAGATTTTCCGCCAAGCGGAGCAAGAGCCCAAGGAAGCCGCCCAGGAATTTCCTTAGCCCGGCTGGGGCTCCGAGGAGGAGGAGGAGGAGGGGCGTGCGAGCCCTCGTGGCTGGTCACAATCCCCTCCGGCTTCTTCTTCACTACCACCACCACCAGCAGCAGCAGGACGAAGAAGCAGAGAAGGGAGGGACTGCCAGCAACCACCTAGCGGGGGGAGGGGAGGAGGGCATGACATAAATTTTTTTTAAAACCCTCACAAAACCACCTTGCCAAAGAGAAAAGCCCCCATCGGTACCCACGAAATTAAACTGAATGGGGTGGGGACCCCACAGGTGCACGCGGGCACGCGCACATGCACAAAAACACACACACACACAGAGATCCGGGAACCTTCCTTAGAGGGACCCCTCAAAAAAAGTCACACTCAGCAGCAGCAGCTACCTCCACCACAAGAGGGGAGCAAACTTTGCGAAGCAAGCCCAGACAGCCTCCAGAGCTGAAGTGGCTGAAGCAAGATGAAGAGGAGGAGGAGGAAGCACCGCCGGGCGCTGAGACGGCCGCTGGCCGGGCTGGTGCTGGGGGTGCCAAGAGAGCTAGAGAGCCACTTCCCAGGAAGAGGCTGCTGCGGCTACGGCTGTTGGCGGCTTGGCTTGGGCATTCGGGGGAAAGGGCGGGCAGTGCATCTCGCTTGCCAGCTCTCCCCCAAGACAGCACCTCTTGCACCCTCCATATGGAACTGCAGCCTGCCAGCCAGGAGACAGGTGGGCTGGCCGGCAGGCTGCAGTTCCGGATGGAGGGTGCAAGAGGCGCTGTTTTGGGGGAGAGCTGGTGAGCGAGATGAGGCTTTTTTTAACTCTTGACTGCAGAGGACACGTGGGCGCTTCAGGGGGCCCAAGCAAGTGGCCCCCGGGCTGCATGTTTGAGACCCCTGGTCTAAACCCAGTCCAAAGTAATGGAAATATTTTTTTTAAAAAAATCCATACCAGTTTTTCTACATTATTCCCCCATGATCTGAATTTGGAAGTACATAATAGACCAGCCAGCCATGTTGCATTGCTTCTATTCATAAGCTACGCAGAAGGTGAACCCCTGTATACAAAGGAGGGGTGGGATCTGAGATCGGAGGGTGCAAAGAGGCCAGTACTAAGGGAGACAGAATGGTGACTGATAAGGAGCAAAAATGGGGATGCATACACAAAGAGAAGGACAGAGGATTGCCAGCATCAACATGTAACAAACATGTTTTCCTCTCTGGCTATTATTAATACCAGGTTGCAACCCTGCTGAATTAAGTAAATGATTGGCCCACATTTACTTTCCAGGTGGGAAAGCACTGTATTTCCTACAACAGATTCCTGTGAGTTGTCACTTTTCCCATCAGTGTTGTAACAACAGGCAAAGATGGACCAAGGAAAATTTTTTCCTATTCATTCTCTAGGGCAGCCATCTAAAGTTTGGCACTGTTTCAGAAAAATAGGCCTGGAAATACTGTATGTCTTTGACTCTGGCCCTCAACCCTCCAACTTCTAAATCATACTCACTTGGGCTACTCCTTTGTGCATTTGGGACTTTTATAAAAGTCTGCTCCACCCACATTCTTCCTTTCAAGCCTACATCCCCTCCTCACCCCTGCTTTCTAACCAATTTCTTCAGCCAGCCTCCATGGATACCTGCCAGTATCCCCTCAGGTGAAGCATCATTACTTCCTTTCGACCAACAATATGCAGCAACTGTTCCTTAGGCCCAGAGGCTTGGTCTACTCCTCGGGGCTCAGCTCCCACCTCCTTCTCTCAGCCCACCCCACCCCTCCCTCTCTCCATCTTCCCAGGACCAGCACCATAGGTTCGGTTTCTCTGGGCTCCAGCTGAGGCCCGTGGACTTGCTCTGCTGCTGCCTGTTCAGATGGCCCTTCCAGGTAAGTAAACAAGGAAAAGGAAGAAGAGATTCTTATGGCTGTATTGCCCTCTCCTTTCTCCATAGAGATTGGGCCAAAAGGGAAAGATTTAAGAAGTGGCAAGTTTACTCAGGGTATCGCTTAACAAGTCAATCCCCCGATTTTTTTCCCCGTAAACGCTGCTTATTTCCTCAGGTTCTTCTATCCTAATCTACTAACAGATCAGTCCTCTTCTTCTTAATCCTCTGCCTCTATGCTTTCTGCATTTTAGCCTCCATATCATGGAATACTTTCACTCATCTTGCATGTCTTACCTGACAACTTCAATGAGAAACTTCAACTTGACTTTATCTTTGCCTGACCGCTGAGGCCAGACCTCCTCAATCCGGTGCCTCCCAACAGCTATATTGGACTGCGGGATGATGGAATTTCTAGTCCAAAATATCTGGAGGACACCAGGTTTGAAACAGGGACAGAAGGGGTGCAAAGGTTCTGCACGGCCCACTTCTTCTTCCCACTTAAGAACTCTGAAGAACCATCCATGACATCACGATCAATTCGATGAACAAGGGACAGGGTTTCATCACTTACCGCAACCAGATCTCTCAGCTAAAAACATGACACATCTGATTTCTCAATCAATACACCAGTTTTTCCATGCAAAGGATGCGACACACTAGCTGGCCATGCTATTTCTGGTGTCAGACTCCCACAAACTTGACACTACCAAGCACTGACGGAAGCCCACAAGGAAAATATTTTCCTCCTCTTCAGCATAAATGGTGGCCACACAAAGTCCTAGCATTCAAAGAATGGCTACCGGGGATCAAATAGGCTTCTAAATGTCTATTTGCAGATCTTTCCTCCCAGACAAGCTTAGTTCACGTGCAGTTCCAACACTGACCAGAAAACAGGACCAAGGTCACATGCTGCCATTTAGCAGGAAGTGAAAGTACTGTAGTTCATTAGCTGATGTTATAATACAAGGAGCTTCCTCGTTGGTGAACAAGTTTTCTTCTATATCAAGCAACAGTCTGCTCAGAAATACATCCAGATTCCCTCCACCTATCTTTTTCACTGCCCACCCCTTTTCACAAAAAAGAGGAAGAAAGCAAGTTGATCTTTTTAACCTAAATCTTTATCAATGGTCTAACCATAGCCTACTTCCATCTCACAGAACCATTAGGAATGGAATACAATGTAGGTATCCAATTTGTGCTATATAAGACTAACAAGTGCTTTATCTTTTGGTCTTCCATGATTAGAAGGATACTGCATGTGTCAGTTTTTTTCTTTTTCTTTGCTAAATTATAAGCATATATTGTATGGTTGACTATGTATGTGTGATTAAAATGCATATATTGGAAAACTACATAGAATGCATAAAAATTATTTTGTTCAGAAAGATTATCAGAATATGGACAAATTGCTGTACAGAAAGAAAAAAGTATTGTGACCTAATATGGAAATTGGATGGAACTATAATGTTGGTGGGATTCCGAGAAATACAGTGAAAACAAAACTGACAAGTTTTCCCATTCCTAAGTTCTTCAGTTTTCCATATTTCTCTCCCCACACCTGACAACCTTTTGTAAGGTTAAACAGCCATAAACATGGACTTTCCTCTTTCTACACCAAACTCATAAAGTTCGAATAGTTTATTTAATCCAAACCTGAAGTTAAATTTAAACCCTGGATTCACATGAGACTCTATACATATCCAGCTTTTTCATTACCTTGAACACTGCAGTTTCCTCCTTTTCAACCAGCTCACACACCTTCACCAAATGAATTTCCCACAACTGTTTCATTGCCATGTTCAGATCAGCTGCCTCCCAAAATCCTCTGCCACAGCTCCATCTTTGTCAGCACCAAGTTCCTAACACCATTCTTTAAAAACAGAATGTTTGCTCGACATGCTATTACTTCTGCTTGCACCTGTTTTCCTAGTCCCACAACATCCTCTTCCACAGTGCTAAGAGAAAAGGTCCTCCCTGCTTCTGCCAAGTGGGCTTTTCTCCAGTCCCTGAGCATCTTTTGCAGAGTCTCAGGAAGGACCATAGGGACTTCACTACAAGTTACAGCAGTCACAAACTCCGCTCTCTCCTGTGCTAGCTCTTATTTGACAAAATCTCCCCTCGATCTTCTGGCTACAGTCTTGAGCCCTCTGGGTAGTGCGCACAAGGCAGACCTAAACTGCTGATATTAAACTGTAATAATAGTACAAGGGACAGAAACAATAGCAAAATTGTACCCACTAGCTAACACAGAGGCACAATCTGCTGGAAGATCTCTTACACAAACTACACTGAAATAAATGGTAACTGCACAACCATAGTGCCTATTCATTTCAGCTGGGTGTGTATATAAGAACCTCCCAAGTGATTTCAACTCAAGGATGAGATCTGTCCAGCTCATGCTTTGCTGTCCTTAATTGCACCAAAACTCACCCCCTGATTCAACCATGTCACCTTCCAGGCTGCCTCCACACTGTCTCATTGGTATCTGAAATTAATGTGGCTTCCAGCAGGAAACAATTCAATTTACGGAAACATCATAAATCCCAAGAGTTGTTTCAGTGAGAAGCATATTTTGGGGCAGAAGCTTATCTCAATCCACACCGAAGGGAGGGGATAAGAACAGAGGATGGGAGTTAACAAGGCAGTGGTGAAGCAAGAGGACCGAACAGCTCCAATCACGGACCAGATAGCTCCATTTCTAAAAGCCCTGGAAATAAGAGCTCCTATGACTGAATGCCCCTTCATATAAACGCTTTCAAGAACACAGAGACCTACAAAAGAATTTTTTTTTCTATATGGAGTAGCCTTTGGCGTACTCTGAAACAGAGCCACTTTTATCACTTTTGTTGTTGTTATGTGCCATCAAGTGCCACTTTTATCACTTTTGTTGTTGTTACGTGCCATCAAGTCACTTCTGACTTACAGCTGTACTGCTTTCACTGAAACAATCCACCTCCTTGGGTCTTCCTCTTTTACTGCCAGCTATCAACTTAAGAGAGGCACAAGCAAGGCAAAAGAAGATTTAAGGCCCATGGATATATAAGTCAAATTCATTGTTCTTACAGTGCTGAACTTTTTGGCCAACTTAAGAGGAGGGAACACGTTTTCCAGTGACCTCTTCTGGCTGGTTACTCCTACAAATTTGTTCTCCTGGGGGAAAAAAAAATAACTATACTTCCACCAACCTGAAGATGAAGGGGGGGGAGAGAATAAAATGACTCTGTAGATATTTTGCTTTCACTCCTACTTATGCACAAAAAACATCAATGCAGCTTAGATGACAAGTAAAATTCAGCCAGCAAGAGGCTCTTTGAAAGCACAGCTGCTTTCTTTCTTTATTTGTCTGTTTTCTTCAATCCTATTTTGGAAGCCTTCTTAGCTATACACATTGAAATTTTTAAAGGGGACCTTCTCCAGCCCAGAGCTCCAGAGTACTTTCCCTCATTTCAGGAGCGTGGTTGCTTCGACTTAGAAGTTTCACTCATCAATGCTTATGACAAGTGACTCTTGTCTGACTTGTTCCCCAGCCCAACACCGAAATTAAGCTCTGTTGTCTCTCTGTGCGGAACTGCAGCTGCTTACAAGGAATTCTCCATCTGAGGGAAATGGAGCTCCAAGAATCATCAAGCAAGCAAGGCTTTTGCAGATTTCAGACATGAGGTGGGGGTGGGGGGTGGAAGCAAGGTTGGGAAAGAAGAATACATGCAGCAAGTGTAGCCTCCTTTCCACCTGACTCCAAGAACACAGCACAATAATCGCAGCTTCAAGTCCTGGGCTTTGCCCAGACTAGCCCTACATCTCTCCCCTACTCCAGGTCTGCCTAGTTACACATATTTGCCACTCCAGCTGCTTCTCATCCTTCATATCCAGAGAAAGCCCAGAGAAGACACGCTAACATACTCCCTTCCTCCAGACCAAGCAAAAGAGAGAGCCTAGTACAGGAAGGAAAGGCTACAAAAAGGGAGAAGGTGGGTGGTGGTGGAAATAAGACGACCACAAATAGAAAAGGGATGTAACATACAACTGAATGCACAAAGGAGACAAAAGGAAGTCAAGAGACACCACAGATCCCTCAACCGACCTCAGAAGCATGACTGTAAATGTAGGAAAGACCAGGTCAGAAGACACGGGATTACAGGAGCTGTCCGTGAAGTACTTCAACAGCAAGCAATGTTATGCACAGTTCATGGACTCAAAGGGTCAGTCAGTATAAAGAAGTCTAGGGAAATCCAGTAAGCCATACATACAACATCTACCACATTTGGGTCATCATCCCTACCCACCCAACAAGGAATAAGCCTTTCAGTGCAAATACTATTTAGTGGGAGCCCCTAATGAAAAGGCAAGTAATCTCTGTCAACCAGAACTTGACCCCTGGTAAGAATCAACAGTCAACCTTGGACCACCAAAGAATTGATGCTTTTGAATTTTGGTGCTGGAAGAGACTCTTGAGAGTAGAGTCCCCTGCAAGGAGAACAAACTTATCAATTCTGAAGGAAATCAACCCTGAGTGTTTACTGGAAGGACAGATCCTGAAGATGAGGCTCCAATACTTTGGCCATCTCATGAGAAGAGAAGACTCCTTGGAAAAGACCTTGATGTTGGGAAAGTGTGAAGGCAAGAGGAGAAGGGGACGACCGAGGATGAGATGGTAAGACAGTGTCATCGAAGCAACCAACATGAATTTGACCCAACTCCGGGAGGCAGTGGAAGACAGGAGGGCTTGGCATGCTCTGGTCCATGGGTCACGAAGAGTCGGACACAACTTAAAGACTAAACAACAACAAGAGGATGCTACATGACTACAAAGCATGCAAAACTCAGTGTGGCTAGCAAGCTGACTCTTCTGGGCAGCAAGCAGAGGGGGAAGAAAAGTAGTCTGGCACCACAACCCAGGAAGAAAGGGGACAGCCTCAGAAGAAGATAGGCCAGGAATTGGCGCTGGAGTCGTGTGGGGGGTTGAGTGGAAGGGAAGGGGGGGGGAACAGACAGATTAGAGTAGGCTTTGTTCCAGCCAGGCTAATAAGTATGATCGCCAAATAACCGAGCAGGCAGGCGGGGGAGAGGGGGAACCCAGCTTTTCCTGCCCCAGTGCCTTTAAACAACAACGTAGATATGTTTAAATTAGTCGAAAAAGCTCCCCTTTTTTTCACCCTATAATTTTCACGCTCCCACCTGCCAATATCCTACAAGTCCAGCTATTGTTAAACGGACAACCCCCCCACCACCAGCAGCCCCTTCTCGGGCTCAGTCCCGACATCGATTTTCCAACGCCAGGCCTCTTTTGAGAGGGGAAGGAAGGCAGACTTGGGGAAGGCAGTTCCTCTGCTGGAAGGGCCGACGCTCGCGAAGGATGTGCGGGCCAGCCGGCGGAGCACCCTCCTCGGGCTTCGGGGGGGGGGAGGCGGCAGCGGTGTGTGTGTGTGAGTGTGTGTATGTGTTGGGGGGGAAGGAATCCGGGAGGAAAGGCAGACTTGCTGGCACCTTTACGCACCTCTGGCTGAACGGGGAGGGAAAGGAGGGGGACGGCGGTGTGCGTGGATGAGGGTGGGAGGTGGTGCAAAAGGAAAGGCCGAGGAGACAAGGAGGAGGTTTAAAGGGGCTTCACTGTGGGGCTCCTCCCCCCCTTTCCCCCGCTTCCCTCCCCCGGGACTCCGGCGGGCATCTCAGTCCCAGCCCGTCAAGGACGACCGGCCGGGGGCGGGCTGCAGGCGAAGACAGGCGTCGTGCCCCCTGCGAGTTAGTGGGTGGGTGGGTGGAGAAGAGGCGCTCCCGTTCTCCCTCTCACCTGCTCGAAGGCCCACGTCTCGGCCACCCGCAATGACGGACATGTGGGGAGGCCGGGCGGGACGTGGGTATTCATGGAGAATCCACTTGAAGAACCATGTTTACAGGTAAGTAACCTGTCCTTCTTCAACGTGGTTCTCCATGAATCCACACTAGTGGGTGATTAGCAAGCAAACTTACTGGATGGTGGGCCGTCATTGCAGCAATGACGTAAGGACAGCCCTGCCAAACTTGGTCTCATTTTTGGCCCGAAGGTCCAACTTATAATTCGAGCGGCTCCCCCGAGGCACCGCACCTGCGTTTGGCGGGCGGGGGCTCCATAGGCCTAACCAATCCCCGGCCTCTCCTGAGCGCTTTCCCGGGAAACCCACCGGCGAAGGCGGCCCGAGTCCGGCCCGGTCTACTCGGCCCCCGCTCGCTCGCTTGCTCGCTGGCAGGCTCTCAATCGACGGCGGATGCGGCTCCTTTAAGGAGCTCCCACAACAATGAGCTCGACGGCCGCTGGTTCTCCAGTCCTCCCTTTTCGCTTCGCCCGCTTTCCATTGGCCGGCCTGGGAGGGAGAGACAGGTGGCGATTGGCCCCGCTCGGCTGCCACTCAAGGAGGAACAATGCACGCCCCCATGTTGTGGGGTTTTAAAAAAAGGGAAATAAAATAAAAGAATCAGGGCTGTCTGGGAAAAAGATGTCAATCAAAGGTCGGGAGGCCTCCAGCCAATCAAGCGAGGAGGGAAACCAAAGACCTTCTGATGAGGTTCTATGTGGGCGTGGCCTCCTCCGCGATCCTTCCATTCACAACATTCTGGAGCCGGCTGGGAATGGCAACAATGTAACAAACCGGGGGTTGAGGCGCATTCCGGCTCAGGCTGTCTCCTTCCCAGGCGCCCCCCCCACACCTCCCCGCCGTCGCTTCCCGGGGGGGGGGGTTTCTTCCCCGCCCTGTCGTCTCCCTCTTCCGTCTCCAGCAGATCTGACAGGAAGGTGGGAATTGAGCTATTTTTAAACCGTTTTTGTCCCAGCATTTTAAATGTTAAACGTAAGGACGAACTTTTAATCCGGGGGCTTGATCGTTGGAGCGTGCCCGGCATCCCGTCGCTGCGGACGAAACGAGCGACGATATGGGGGAACATTATGGGGTACCACGATGCTGCATCGGAAACTCAGACGCGCCTTCTCCGAAGTAAACCCCCCGTCAGTTCTATTACACTTACTCCCGAGGAGTAACAAACGCACAAAAACAACAGCACAGAACAAAATCCTGCTGCCTCAGCTGTTCTCTCACACGGTATAATCTTATAGGTGTTTTGCTTCGGAAGCCCTTGCGATTGCAGGGGACTTTTCCTAAATATGCGGGCGCAGCACTGCAAGCAAAGAAGGTTAAACTTTTAGGAGGTCCTGGCTATTCTCTGTAGTAATGGCCTTTCCTTGGGGTACAAAATAAATTCACTGGGTTTGCTTTTTCATATGAGAATACATATTTCATACCCTAAGACTGCCAATGGGATAAACAAGTCATGCCTCGGATATCCCCGTGTCCCTGAGATTTACAGTTCTGTTTTGGCAAAGGCAAAATGTTCACAAACAAAAGTTAGAAAAACTACTAAGATACCTTAAAGGCGAACCCATTTAATTTGGCAGAGCTTTGTGGTCTGTAATCCTTATTTTCAATTAGACTACGGTCACAAAGAGTTATGCCCCCAAAATTGTAGTCGTCAAGATGCTACCAAGATTCATGGCTGTTTTCTTTGCAGGCTGACATGCCTACCCCCTGAGAAAGCAATGACAAAATAGTGGCATTGGAAAAATGAATGGAAACATACTTTGGTGGGTGGCGAACATGCATGCAAAATGCATACCGTACTTTACAGAAATACATGCCAACAAGACAGGAGAAGACCACTGGCTCAAGACGCTTGAAGTTGTGTTAGAGATGTAAGGAAGTTCAATGTGTTCCAGTCTATTGTATGTTCTAAGGCCTTCCTAACGGCTGTGAGACAGGCATCCCTTTGTTTTGTATGTTTTCAGTTCTCTTCTGTCTTCTAACAAAATATGCACACATTTCCACCTGGAAAAGGGGGGCGGGGGAGAAATCTCACAACCTGATATGAAAATTTGATAGGAGGAAAATGTTCGGATTCTGAGAAACACAATGAAACCCAGAACAACAGATTTTCATAGCCTTCCCTATGGTAGTTCCTTGACTCATTTTCAAAGGCAGATAAAAATGTGCTTATTCTGCCATCCTTTTGAGAATTCAATGTACTGTAATATTTACTATTGCTTTATATAGATACCCAGTGCAGTGTAGTGGATAGAGTGACCAACTAGGACTTAGAAGGAGGGGTTCAAATCCCTTTTCAGCCATGGAAATGCATTGGGGGCTGATAAAAGCAACTCCTCTCACTTTCAAGGTAGACCTTATTAAGGTTGCTGTAAGTTGGTTCTGACTTGGTAACATAAGAACATTGTTTTATATAATGCTATGGTTTGTTTTTCAAGATTTTTCATTTAGGTCGTTTTTAATCCCATGAAATATCTTCTGATTTGTTTGTTGAAAAAAATGTGTGGAATGCAGTCAGATAAATACAATTATTTATTATCACTATCATCATCAATCATTCTACACTGCAATTTCTGGAGCAACATGAGTATTCCTTTTAGTCAATGTGGATACTCAGTTGCAAAGAGCAATATTTGTTTATTTCCTTTAACATCTGCACGAAGCCCCTGAGTTAGGTCATGAAGAGATTTATAGTATGATGCCATCGGTATAAAGATGACAGCCATCTCTTTCCAAAAATCAAATCCAAGTTAAGCTGTGGAAGTCCCAGATCATTGTTTATATTGCTAGCAGATCAGATGGGAACAAAGAAGCCAAACCTCAGTGGCATTAAAGCAACAGTACCATGTGGATGGCTTTTTCATCTCGATTGGGAGATTCCACCTAAATCTGGACAGGAGCTGGGTTACTCTCCAAAACATCAGCTGTGCAGTTTAAGGTGCTGTCACATCTGGCCTTACCATTAGAGGCAAAAGCATCTTGTTTGGCTCTTTGCCCCCAGACTGGGATAAGCTAGCTGCCACCCCCTAGCTACAGATGTTCTGGTTACAGTGTTCCATGTAGGGAGCAACACTATTTAGATTATCAAGTTCTTATCTAGACAATCACAAATCTGCAAGATTGCTCAGAAATTGCTGCTTGTAGAAAGTACAGTACTGTAATATTACTGATAACTAGGATTACCTACATGGAGCATCATTACACTACTTATGGCTACCAGTCTTGATTCAAAGCACAGTCCAAAATGCTGGTATGTTTAAGCCACAACACCAGTAACTCAGTGGAAATGTTTTAATTTGCCCAGGCATTTGAACTGCTCTTGTATTTCAGGTAGGATCTTTAACTGTTGTTGTCATCATCAATATATTGTATTCTTCATGTTTTACTTTGTATGCTGCTCTGGGATCCAAGGTCTAATAGCAGAAAATAAAAGCATCTATAATAATAAAAGTAATTGACTGTGCATATGTTCACCATAGCTCTAGGACTATGAAATTTGGTATTTGTATTCCAAAACACCAGGCGCAGTCAAAATTATAAAAGCACTGACTGGTATTATGGTATGTAACAGATACTGTACAAGTTTTAACCAAAAACCTAAGTATATGTTAAATATTGGTGCAGTGTCTATGCTTCTCCTTTTTTGTAGCGCTGATGGTATAAATTTCTGAGATCTGCAACTGCTTATAGTACTTGGTGAAATTTATTGATATTGTTCCAAAGCCCCAGTGAGTACAGGGACCACTGAAGCGTGTTTTTTCTAGAGACATGATGTTTTGATTGCCAGGTCTCTGTACTTTGTTAGTTTTTACAAATCTTTATTTTCAACTCTGGCATCCCCTGGAATTGCAATGTCAATGATCCAGACCTTTATTCATTCTATTACTACTATGTCTGGTGTGTTATGTTCAAGGTGTCTATCTGTTTGGATCCAGAAATCCCACAAGATCTTGACTTCATTTTCTTACACCTTCTCTACCTGATGTTCCCATGGGTTTTTGTAGGTCGGAAAGTTATATTTTTTGCATAATGACCAGTGCACTAACTTTGCCACTCTATCATGTCTAACTTTGTAATCTGTTTGTGCAATCTTTGGACATTCACAGATTAGGTGTGACAGAGTTTCATCTTTTTCTTGGCAGAGTTGACGTTTGCTGTTAGCACTAATTCCTTGGATCTTAGCTTTCATCACATTAGTTTGGAGTGCTTGTTCTTATGCAGCAAAAATCAAGACTTCAGTTTCTTTAAGTGTCCCCAGTTTTAGCCATGCTCATGTTGAATTATGATCATGCTTTCCTTCAATATTTCTTAGGTGTTATCCATGTACTGGTTTATTTTCCCAGATGTTTAATTTCTTTTCAAATTGTTGTTTCTTATATTGAGGCTTTGGTTGTTTTTTAAAATATTCTCCATTTTCACTGCTTTCAGTAATTTTTGTTCTGCTTGTACTGATATTATAATTTAGGCTCTTTTTTTCTTCCTATGCTACCTGCTATATTTGCAGTAATCCATGGCCTCTGATTTTTCGTGGTAAATATAATCTGTCCATGTCACTTATTGGATGTAGTGCATGATGCATGTTCATTAGTTTCCATATTTCTCAATCCAATTCTTCTAATTCGTTTTGCATCCAATCTGTTATTCCAGCTGGGTTTCTAATTACTGGAATGGAACATGTGTTTATGACTTTGATTGTACTTTCCCCATTTAATTTTGATTCTAAGATTTTCTGCAGTATTTTGATGTATTCTATTTCTGTCAGCTCTTTAACTTATGTGTACACCATGTTGTCTGCTTCTAGTATTCCAAGGTATGTATAATTTCATCACTTGAGAGTGATTTTATAATATTGCCATTTTTAACTCTATTCCATCTAGTTTTTGGATCTTGCCACGGTGTAAGGACAAAGCTGCACATCTGTCAATTCTAAATTTCATTTGGATATCTTTACTAAATATTTGCACTGTGTTTAGCAGTGATTCTATCTCTGTGGTACTTTTTGCATATAGTTTTAGGTCATCCATGTATAACAGAGGATTGATTTTTTCCTGCTTGTTCTGAAATATGGTAGTCCAATCCAGTTTTATTTAATATTATTGACATGGGAATTAGTGAGATGTTCAACAGGAGTGGTGACAATGAATCTCCATGGAATATTCCTTTTTTGATGCTAACCTCCCAGTTTCTTCACCATGGGCCATTAAGATGGTTTTCCATTTTTCCATGTTTTTCTTCAGGAATTTCTGAATGTTTTTACTAATCCAAAAAAAAATTTAGGCATGTGTTAATCCAGATGTGTGGCAATCAGTCAAATGCCTTTTTATAGTCTATCCAGGCCATGCTAAGGTTTGCTTTTTGTCTTTTTGCATTCTTCAGTAAAATTTTATCAATAAGCAGCTGGTCTTTCGTGCCCCTTGACTTTTTAAATTTCCCTTTCAGTTCAGTTGGGTACAGGGAGTTTTCAGTTAAGTAATTATATATTGATCTTGCAAGTACTCCTGTGAGGAGCTTGAACATTGTTGGAATGCATGTTATTGGTTGATAATTACTGGGTTCATTACCATTTTGATTATTTTTATTATCAGGAATGTGCAGCCTGTTGTTATCCAATCTTCAGTTGTAGAATTTTGAAGTCAGTTATTAAATTGCACTGCTATACATTGATGGAGACTTGTTGGATGCTTTAACCAAAATCTGTGCAGCTCATCTGGACCAGGTGCACTCCAATTTTTCACAACCTTACTCATTTCAATTGTTATTGCAATATCATCCATTTGTTTTCCTTGACTTTCTTTACAAATGTCTTTAACCCATGAGGCATTTTTGTTATGTTTGGTTGGGCTTTCTCACATTTCTGTCCAGAATTTTAGAGCATAATCTTTACACAGGCCTAATTTCTTTAGTTCTGCATTTTCTTCTAGTGATGTATAGAATGATCATTGGTTATTTCGAAATTCCATGTTTTCTCTATATTGTTTCAAGCGTTCATCATATCTTTCTTTTCTTTGCTGCAGCTGTTATCCGCTGTTTTAGTTCTTCCATCAT